TTGGCAGAACTGGGGATTGAACTCAAGGTCCTTGAGCTTGCCAGGGAAGCGCTTACTCCACTGAGCCATCTCCATGGCCCTCAATTAAATTTTAATTAAAGTTGGATGTGGTGGCATATGTCTATTGTCCGAGCACTTGAGAAGCTGAGGCAGGAGGATCTCTGTGTGTTCCAGGCCAACCCTGGGGTACACAGTAATTTCAAGGCTAGCCTATACTACAAAGCAAAACCCTATCTCAAAATTTTTTATTTTATTACAGTAGATATCCAGGGCTGGAGAGGTAGCTTGGTGATCTAAGTGCCTTTCTGGCAAGGGAAAAGACCTGGGTTCAATCCCTGGCCCTGCATGATGTGCTGGCCCTGGAACGCCAGGCATGCTGTGCCAGCCACCGAAACTGGGTGTGGCAGTGCACACCTGTCATCCCAGCAATACAGAGGCTGTGACAGGAGGATGATTAGAAGTCTGAGCTGTGTAGCGAGAGCCTATACCAGAAAAAAGATACTGTATATTTCTACCAACATGAAGGAGATACTTATTTTCTTGGGTTGTAAGTTATCAGTTATTCTGAGTTGCTTTTTTTCCATTTTTTTCTGCTGTTTAAGGATATTTGGGAAAAGTTTACAAACTAACCCATTAGCCTATCATTTTTTTATGGTTTCAAGAAATATAGTTGTATATAAGAGCATACAGCTCCACCCAACCTAAGATGTATGTCTGTGCTCACAAGTCCCTGTATGAGTCTAAGGCTCACACCTCCCTTTCTCTTAGTATCTTCATGAAAATGGGATTATACATCGGGATTTAAAGCCAGAGAATGTTTTACTGTCATCTCAAGAAGATGACTGTCTTATAAAGGTAAGAATTTTAAGTTCTGCATGTGACTATTCCAGTACTTTTTTTTTTTTTTTTTTTTTTTCCAACATATTTAGTACAAGGTCTGTAGCATCTCAAAACAGATCAGACTCGTAATGATCCTCCTGTAATCCCAAGCACTGGGATTACAGGCATGTGCCACCACACCTAGTCTCAGTTGCCCTCTCAGCACTCCCTGGGGGTGGGGCCAGCACTGCACAGCACACTGGGGATTGAACCCTGGTCCCTGCGTCTGCCTAAGCCGGCACTTTAATCTGCTGGGCTATCTGGCTGGCCCTCCAGTAGGTTTCTGTTCAGAAACTTTTAATTCATCAGGTTAAAAAAAGAGCATTTTTGAGAGGCTGAGATGCTGACCTTTCTTCTTTTGGCAATTATTGCGGAAATCAGGTATTGCAGTGCTCTGGAGTGTGCTGAGCATCACTGTGTGCTGGCCACTTTTGTGGAGAGAGGGTGTCTAAGTGGATGAGTGAATCATAGCCAGCTTTGTGTCTTCCTCCTCAAGCCTAGGTTCA